CGTGGCCTCTCCCATTGTGGAGCACAGGCTCCGGACGCACAGGCTCAGCGGCCATGGCTCACGGGCCCAGCCGCTCCGCGGCATGTGGGATCTTCCTGGACCAGGGCACGAACCCTTGTCCCCTGCATCGGCAGGCGGTCTCTCAACCACTGCGCCACCAGGGAAGCCCGACCAGGGTGGTTTTTTTTTGTTTGTTTGTTTGTTTTCTTGCGTTATGCGGGCCTCTCACTGTTGTGGCCTCTCCCATTTGCGGAGCACAGGCTCCGGACGCGCAGGCTCAGCGGCCATGGCTCACGGGCCCAGCCGCTCCGCGGCATGTGGGATCTTCCCGAAACGGGACACGAACCCGCGTCTCCTGCATCGGCAGGCGGACTCTCAAGCACTGCGCCACCAGGGAAGCCCGACCAGGGTGGTTTTGACGGCTATATTTATGTTTGTTGTTTTTACATCCTCCCCCTGCTCTTTCCCCACCCCTGTTCTAACACAGTGTTTTTTAAATTTTTTAAATTTATTTTATTTTAAAATTAAATTAATTTTTTAATTTATTTTTTTATTTTACTGAATTATAACTGATTTACAGTGTTGTGACAGTGCTTTTTTTTTTTTGTTTTTTTTGCTGTACGTGGGGCTCTCACTGTTGTGGCCTCTCCCGTTGCGGAGCACAGGCTCCGGACATGCAGGCTCAGCGGCCATGGCCCATAGGCCCATCCGCTCTGCAGCATGTGGGATCTTCCCGGACGAGGGCACAAACCCACGTCCCCTGCATTGGCAGGCGGACTCTCAACCACTGCGCCACCAGGGAAGCCTCGTGACAGTGCTTTTTGAATACAGTAACTGGATATTTAAAATGTTTCTTGGATGAATGACTGAATCATGAGCACAGTTCACTGCCAAACATCTCAGTTCTTTGCTGAGATGTATATAAATCATCTCTATCCCATTTCTCCCCTACAGATGGGAGGCAGAATATGAACTGAAGACATTTTTTAGAAAAATAATATTTTCTATAATAACTTTAAAAAATACAGCTTTATAAAACCAGTCATTCTTCGATTGTCATGGAAACCTTGTGGTGTATAACTACATGCTTTACATTTGTAGTCTTTAGATAGCTTTACGTCAAACAATGGACCATTTCGCTATTACTTGGGTGGTAATCCCAGTCAGCCCTTGGAAAGTTCTGGTTTTCCTGAAGATGTTCAAGTATCTCCTGGGAATGGCAACAGGGGAGACACACAGGCGGCAGCAGTGGAAGGCAAAGGTGAAGTCAAGCATGGAGGAGAGGATGGTGGGAATAACAGTGGAGCGCCGCACCGTGAGAAAAGGGCTGGAGAAAGTGAGGAATTCTCTAACGTCAGGAGAGGAAGAGGTGTGTAGCACTTGTTTTTTGTTCTCACTGTCTTTATAAATGAATTAATGAAATGGGGAGGTTCTAGATAGGAGAGGCACCAGGACTGTCCCTCTGCAAAGGGAATGTTGAAAGTTATCCTCGCGGAACATCTGACCATTTTCCTTTATGTCTGGTTCTCTCCTTTGACTCTACAGGGCATAGCAGTGTATTCTTTGAAGGTGTGGGAGAAAACATGTCTATTTCCACATCTTTTATGCAGTTTTTTAAGGTAGCCAAATTTATGTTTTATCACCTCCTTGAACGCTCACTGATTGCTCCAGCTGTGCTGCTGCTTTTTTCCTACTGTAGGTGAAAATCTGAATTCCTTATTGTTTCCCATTTCCCTGCTTAGGTCAAAAGACATCATTTCAAGCTGATAAATCAAGTAATAGAGATAAAAGAACATTTAACAATACAGAGGGAAACATTAAGAATATTAATGTGATCAGGTAATAAAGAGTTGAGTGGTGAAGAAAAGTAGGAATATTAATTTACAGTTGTTTATAGTAAGGAATCGATAGGTACTGTCAAAAGAGCCATATGAACACAAACAAACCTTTCTAATTTATCAGAAAAAAATACACATTTTTTAAAAAGCAGTGAAAACAGACCATGTAGTAAAATATTTTTTAAAACCCACAAAACATTGCACAATATAAAAGACTTAAGATCAAATGTATTTGTGAAAGCAGTACAAGTAAAGAGGCTCTACTCACCTACTTAAAGAAGAAGGTATTTGGATTGGTTCACAAAGCAAAGCATAACTTCATGCTATAGTCTACAAGAGGCATATTCAGAAAGTAAAAAATAAAAATATAGGCAAAGGTATCTCACACAAATGCACATTAAAATAAGACAAGGTTAGTAATCTTGATATCAGGGAAGATTAATTTCAAGACAAAAAGCATTAAGATAAAGAGGGCCACTTGTAATGTTAAGGTGTGCAGTAGAGACTTAAAATTGTTAATATCTTATATAACATCAACACTTCAAAAAGCAAAATCTGCAGATGATATAAGGAGAAATAGGGAAAATCATATTAATATTCAGGAGACTTTAATATACTTTTTTTGGTCTATATGAGAGTATAAGGACAAAAACATAACTAAGGATAATGAGAACCTTACTAACATAATTAATTTGGTAAATCTAACTGGTAGTTATCGAACTGTGTACCATGATACCTATGGAACCTGATAATTCTAAATGCTAAATTTTTCTTTGTTACCCTTATGACACCCAAGCAAGAAACTTTGGACTGTATTTCTTATTTATTGTCACCATTGTCTCCCCCTTTCTACATTTGGTCCATCAGATAAACCTGTAATTCATTCTCTCTAATGTCTTCCTTTACAATTTGATAGCCAGGCCAAGCTTTTCATTTTTCACTGATTCAGAAACCTCTTAAGCTTGTATGACTGTTCTTATTTTCTAATTAAATACGTTCTCAAACTGATCAGGATAATTTCTCTGTTTTTTTTTTTTTGTTTTTTTTTTTAACTAAGACACATTCTTCCTATTGAAGAATATACAGTGTTTTTTGTCTGTATATATGCCTATATATATATAGGTCTGCTTATAAAGCCTGCACTCCTCACCTTCACATGGAACTTGATTCGACCTGTCCTTTGCTCTTCCTGATGTTATCATCCTCATGTTTTCTCTCCTTTTTAGCATCTACCTCAAATAAGTAAAGAAAATCTTCCCACTCCCACCACCGGCTTGCCCCTTCCATGTCTATGTCTTTCCTATCTTTTGGCATAGTCTTTTGTCTCTTCTTTGTTGATATTTGACTATCCCTTCATTCAAAATTCAACCTAAAGGAAAAATATAGTGCTTTGTGGGAGTCTTTCCTAATAATTCACATTTAACTTTAATTAGTGGAATACTATATTCTTTTAATATCCTTACACTTTTACACGCATTCCTTTTGTCTGGACTTTTATGTGCTCTGAATATAGGATAGGTTAATAAATCTTGATAGCATATTATAAAGCAGTAGGGAAAAAGCAGGCTCTGGGGACCCCTAAGGTAAGATAGTCAAGTGTATGATGGTCATAACATGTCCCCCCCTCAACCTAATTAAATGAATAAAAAAGAAGAAAAAATTATCAAGGAATATGGCAACAGCAACTAGATAAGGGACTCATCCTGGTACCATAAACTTTGCAAAGTATCAGAGAGACAGGACAATTAGAAAGAAACTAGAATAGATAGGAAGTTCTGTTCTCTATAGAAACAGTGAGAATGAAGGTGAGTCAATGAAATTTTGAAAAAAACCTCTCAATTTAGTGGGAAGCAGACTGAAATCCATAGTGGCTCGAGGGTGAAGACTCGGAGTGTCCTTCTGGAACTCTTTTGGACACACAGCCAGAATGAGTGCAAGACTTGTTATTATTTTTCTCTTCCACCTCTGGTTGAGAAGGAGGCTGGAGAATAGGGCATAATCTGGTGGAACTAATCACCTCTTGTCACGGAGGCTTAAAAAAAAGAGAAGATATATGGAGGATTGGGTAGCCTAGTGTCCAGTTCACCGAATTTCACATACCCTCCCATCTCCTTCCCCTGGGGACAAGCAGAACCACAGCCAGAGCTAGAAGAAACTGGGGTTTGCTTTCAGACATGACCTCCCTCTTCTAGTTCTGACCTTGAGGACACTGAGGGAGGCAGGGGGAGATAATTGCTCAGTGATAATTCTCTGTCACTGCCAAAGGCCATCTGGCCTCTTATATGGAGGAAGGATCTGAAATATAAGGCCATCTGTCATTTGAATATATATGTCATTGAATATATATATATATATATATATATATATATATATATATATATATATATATCTTAGATGGATCACTTTCAAGTTTTAAAGCATGTAAAATACTTCTCATTAACACTTAGACGTCAAATGCAATTACCTTCCACATATATATATATATATATATATATATATATATATATATATATATATATATATATATATATATATATCGCTGATCCAGGAAAAGTCCCCAACACAGGGCATTTCACAATGTACAAAGAAAGAGAATAGAAAACAATTCCCCCGTTACCTCAGCCCCTACCTCTAGTCCCACTCAGAAGAGCCTAATATAGAAGCAACAGACACTGATGATATCAAGCCTACAAGATCAGGTCTGGGGCGACATACCAGTAGGGCAATGTCAACGTGGCAGGAAACCCACTCTATTTATGTAGATTGATAGAGTTGCCTGTGTCATAGATAAACAAGCTGACAAAAACTGGCCTGGGAACTATGTAGAAATCCTACAGACAAGGAAAAAATAAAAAGGAGAGTGGAGAGGGGGAAAGGCACTTAGGATGCAAACAAAAGATCTGTTTTGGAAGAATATATATGCCATAAAACAACATTTTAGATAAACAGTATTCCTCACTCAATAAAGAAGAATATAAACACAAATAGGAGATCGAAGCAGAGATGATAAGGCCTAAAAAAAGGAAATTGCATAGGTAGGGGGAAAATTGGAGGCATAAGTCATAGTTATATAAGTTATAAATACATTAGAAACAGTAAAGAAGAGAATTGACATGGCAGAAATGCAAGTCATTCATTTATTCAAGAAAGGCAGCTTATACAGTTTGGGCAGAGGGCCCCTCTTTACAAGAAAAAATACAAATGTGTGAATATTTAGTTAAGAAAAAGGTCACAACGTATTACTAGAACCTTGGATTCAGGTTTCTTTCTTTAGGTAATTTAACAAAATTGTTTATATGAAACGCTTCCTGTTTAAAATCTGACTTTACCCACCTATAGCTCTCTACAGCTCCCAGAAATCACAGGGGCCCATACAGGGGAATGGGCTGATACTCCTGTCTTTGTGAAGGCAGTTTGAACACTGAGTATTACAAAGGATGTAGTAAAGTGAGCAGAGACAGCTGTAGTTCTCTGGCACCATCAGAACCCACTGATAGACCATCACAGAATATGTCAAGCTCTTAAGGATGCAGGAAAAAACTAAGCCTGAAATTCGACTTCCCACTTTTTTTTTCTGTATGAATTCCAGACCCATAGCTGAATTCAGGAATGACCACTTCAAATTTTACTTCCTTTCGATACAAGAGTAGAGGTCTTCTTGAAAATGGCATCGAGCATTTCAGTGTACTCTTTGGGGTTTAACTTGGCAGATGGCTCCAATTCCATTTCTCTTACAGCCCCAAACACTGTTTGATGCAAGTTCAGTTTTGGGAATCCTGCTTCTGTAGGGTTCCAGGATGCCAAAGGGCAATGAGGTAGACGATTTTCTGTTTATTATTTAAAACAAAACTTACGTATTATATTAGCAAGCATGTAAAACTTGTGATGTTCCATTTCTGCAAGGGTAAGGTAACATAGTAGTACCTTTTACACACTGCAGTATAAAACTGTTTTGTACTTCCCTGGTGGTCCAGTGGTTAGGACTCTGTGCTCCCAATACAGGGAGCACAGGGTCGATCCCTGTTTGGGGAACTAGGATCCTGCATGCCACACAGCGAGGCCAAACAAACAAACAAACAAAAAACTGTTTCAGCCTTTGTGAAAAATAACTTGGCAACACTCATTAAGAACTACAACAAAATTGTTATCCTTTCCCAGGAATTCTTCTTTGAATTTGTCTGACCTAAAGAAATCAACAGAAATTTGGACAAGAATTTATATACAAAGACATTCATTGCAATGTTATTTGTAATCGCAAAAATTTGGAGTCACCCTAAGTATCTAAAAGTGCAAAATGATTGAGTAAATTATTTCATGGTCTTACTAGTGAATTCATATAGCTGTTTCATTGTTTTTGGAATTGGAGTAAAATTTAATGATGCACGTAAATGTTCATAATATATATATATATTTCTTTCTTTTGGTGGTACGCGGGCCTCTCACTGCTGTGGCCTCTCCCGTTGCAGAGCACAGGCTCCGGACGCACAGGCTCAGCGGCCATGGCTCACGGGCCCAGCTGCTCTGCAGCATGTGGGATCTTCCTGGACTGGGGCACGAACCCGTGTCCCCTGCATTGGCAGGCGTACTCTCAACCACTGCACCACCATGGAAGCCCCATAATATTTTTTTAAAGTAGGACACAAAATCACGTATAAGGGGTAATGCCAATTCTGTAAATATATGCGTAGAAAAAAGAACGTATGGATAGACAACAAAATGTTAATAGTGGTGAGATTTCAATTTAAGTATAATGGAATTTATAAGAAAAAACATTTAAAAACCTTTTGGGAGGCTTACAGTGATCAAATAGGAAAACATGGCTATTTAGTGTAGCTTTTAATACTCCAAAGAAACAGCCTCCTATTTTTTCAATCTTGTTACTGTATTAGTGAAGAATTTTTAAGAATGTACCCCAAATATGCATATTATTTGTGTATTATATACATTGAGTCATGTACTAGTATATTAGGTACATTATAAAACCTTAGCAAAGAAAAAAAATTAAGACTATAAATAGAAGTTTATACCTATTTTAATAGTTTATTTTGTGTACTTCCTGATTGCTTCCACTCCACTTTGGAGATTTAGATCTCAAAGAAATAGAGGAAAAATGAAAAAAAAAACACAAAAAACACCCCACCATTTCTACTTTTCTAAGAGTGATTAAAACTAACTTACTTTGCTCTCTTAAAATAGGGCACAGGATGCAGCATTTGAGTGAAGGAAGCAAAGGTCGGCAAGTGGGAAGTGGAGGTGATGGGGAACGCTGGGGTTCAGACAGAGGGTCGAGGGGCAGCCTCAACGAGCAGATCGCTCTCGTGCTCATGCGCCTGCAGGAGGACATGCAGAACGTCCTTCAGAGACTCCACAAACTGGAGACGCTGACAGCATCACAGGTAGCCTTCCTCATTTGTCTTGTCTTCATCTGCTGTTGATCCCATCAAACAGTGTGTAATTGGAATCTGTGTTAATCTGATTTAAGTGAACCATACAAATGATACCCAAAGCTTATTTTAGCAGTTAAGTAAGATTATATGTTTAGGGAACCAGGCTCAGATTATGTGTTATCAAGAGGTATATGGTGTGTTCCAATGAGAAGGATATTCAAATACACTGATTTGAATGGTTTTGCTAAGAAAGAGACAAATTCTGGATCCACAAAATGCTAAACAGTAACAGTTTACAAAATGCTTTTTCTTGTTAAATGTGTGATTTTTTGGTATGTGCATTTAATATCTGTCTTTCTTGCTAGACTATAAACACCGTGATTGTAGGGACTATATATACTATTTTATTTACTGCTGCTAAAGGACAGAGCCTTGTTCCAAGGAGAGGGCACAATAAATACCTGCTGTTAGATTAAAAAAAAAATCTGATTTACACACATCAATGGAGTTTAATGGTTTTTAAAAGGATCTACTTTTGAAAATATTATTTCAGAAAAGACTGACCCAAAAGCCAAATACCACTTAACATAATTGGAATTTTTCAGCATATAAAATTAGCAGTACCATGTTGGAGACAGGAAGAAGAACCCGAGAAGAATGAGAAGTGTTGAACAGTGCCGTTTGTGGCACTAATAGAGACCACAGCTAATGTCCTAGGGTTCACCATTGAAGGGCCATCCTTTTGTAGTAAGCGTTGTCTTCTATCTTGACCTCTTTTTAAAATGCTGTGGAGGTAATACACTAACTTACCCATTCTTTACTGTAAATTAGTTTTAGGCTCAAAACTTTCAAGCTGGAGAGAAATGTAGAGTTATGATTTGACCTCCACTATGGTTTGCTATAGCTTATCATGAATCTCCAAAACAGATATTTGGATATTGTTGACATAATCTTTACACTTTTACAGTTTTAATAATCAAGGCTATAGTTCTCAAATGTGTTTGTAAGTTGGTAGTTTATATGGAAATCAAGGAATTAATAAGAAATGTTGAGTAAGTAATTTAATAAGAATGTAAAAGAAGTAATGGTTCTGATTAATTTGAGGTTTTATTTTGATAATTTTATATTATTTGAACTATAAAATGTCAGAGATAATTATTTGGCTAGCAATTTTAGGGACTTTTAATTTGGTCACTGTGAGTTTCAGGATAATCAAAGCGTAGTTAGCAGAAAAATCGAGAGTAATCCAGTATTTCACCCTTTTTTTTAAAAAAAAAAGATAGGAAATAGAAAAAATTACTGTATTTTTTTTTTCTTTTTGTCAAAGCTAAATCAGTTTCATTTGTGTTGATAGGCAAAATCATCAGCATTACAGACCGGTAATCAGCCCCCTTCACCGGTAAGAAATTCTTATCTTAAATCTAAGTGCCAGGGTTTCAAATAAGTTACAGTATATTTAGATTATATGACATCCTTAAAGTATTCCAAATGAAATCTACCCTTTAGAACTTTGAAGTTTACAATATATTTGTTTTATAATAAGTCTGAAGTGCTTCTGAAAGTCTACTTACTGAATTATGCTCTAAAATTATCTCCCTCCCTTCAGTAGGAGTGAGATCTATTATTAGTTATATAGTTTCAAAATTATGGTGTGTTTTTTAAATTTATATGTGCAATATGTAATAGATTGGTGACCAGCTTATTTTATTTTCTCAGAGACCATCTTGGTGGCCCTTCGAGATGTCTCCGGGTGCATTAATCTTTGCTATCATATGGCCTTTTATTGCCCAGTGGTTAGTGCATTTATATTACCAAAGAAGGAGAAGGTAATATGATAGTTTTATAATTCAAAGTGGTATGTAAACTCTTAGAATCTATAGCAGACAGAGCTTTCAGCGGCAGTTAGGGAGATAGAACCATTTTATAGATAGATTGTCATACTGAGCATTCTGTACTGATCCTGAGACTGAAACTACCTTGGAAATGATATCTAGTGGGTTTTTAGATACTTGTTAGATTAAAATTTTTTCACTTGAGAGCATCTTATGTATTTGTACACCTTTGATTTATGCAACAGCAAGAAAATGATTACAGGCTTAAGTTTTATGTCTTACGAAGAAACAGTGTTCTCAAAGTATGATTTTTTTCGGGGGCCCTTTGCTAATATTAAAGGACAACAGATAAGAAAACTAATAATGCCTGCGTGCTTTGTATACCTTAGAAATATAGACATTGGCATTTCCGAAAATGTTCATCCTAGTGGTTGACTAGAAATAGGGCTTATTCTAATTTGAGGGCCAGAATTCCAATTTGGATGCCAGGAAGTAACTCAGGTAAGTCTGAGAATAATAGGTTCGAATCCTTGCAAGTGCTCTGAGATTGTCTAGATGAGGAATAACCTGAGGCCAAAACTCTTGGGTTCAAGAAAATCGTTAAAAGCATTTTTTTTGGACATTATGTAAACTGAATTACTTTCCCTGGATGGGCAGATGGACAAATATTTGTCATTCGTGGCCTCACTGATTATGTTTCTGGTGTTTCATCACCATTTCCCATTAAGTCACAACAGATGGGGAAAAGAGATAGGGTATTTGGTGGTAAGATTTTAAGTGCTCTCTTACATATGTGCAGTAGAAACACATTTTAAAAAAATCTACAATTTTAAATAATTATAGGTCTGTTGTTCCTCTACCAAAGAACCCACGTTTCTAATTACTAAACATGATAACAAAAGCAAAAACCAAACATTTACCCTTCTCCTACGTCAAAGGGCTAAGCAGCACACTAGTCTAAGTGCTCCAGTGAGAATGCTTTATAGTAGAGAAAAGGAAATGCATGTGGCCTTAGGTGACTTGGTTTAGTCTTCCTTGTTCTCTGCTTATGTTAAGACTGTTTGATTTATGTTCATAAATGAACTCAATACGTTTTCTGGTACATTAATGTTCTTGGAATATTCTTGCTCACTTAAAAAACTTTTGTGGGATTTCAGAAGCCTAAGTTGCCTTCTCAGTATCATCTACCCGCTTTCTAAGCCATCTGTGTATGTGTCATTTCAGCTGTTAAGATACAGACCTTGGGACTATATCTATAGATATAGACTATAGACCGTGGTCCAGTGGTTAAGAATCCGTGCATCCAATGTAGGGGGTGTGGGTTCAATCCCTGGTTGGGGAACTAAGATCCTGCATGCTGCATGACATGGCCAAAAAAAGGGAAAAAAGAGATATAGACCTTAACTTAAATCCTTTCTTTTCTTTTCTCACACATTTTGTGTTTCTCCTGTGATGGTTGGGTGCTATACAGTGTTTTAAATCCTAATATCCCTGATAATAGGAGGAAAAAAGAACCAAACCTTTTTTCAATATGTGGTTATACTGGATTTAAGCGGCTGGCAACAGTGGTGCTAACAGGAGGTGTTTACATGTTTTGCAATGCATTTCAAAGTTCTTTTTCATGTTTTCCTTTGTAGAAAGTTGGGGATTGGAGAATAGAGAAATTCAACACACGACAAAAAAACCTAAAGTTTACTTCGATTAATAATTTATTTCATGCTTAAGGTTGAAGGTGCTTGTCAGTTTATTAAAGACTGAAAAAACTGTACTTTGCTTCAGCAGTCACGGAAAATGGCAGTTTTTCTAAAATTATTATTTTTTTTAATGTTCCTCACTTGTAAAAGTATATGCCGTTTCTTCTAAGTATTCCTTTCAGTTGTTGACAGATGTCTCTAAATGGAGAAACTTTTCTCTGTTCCTAATTTTCTACTTTGTTATTATTGAATCTTTATCCAGTTTTCCAATGTATGTTAGGTATTTAATCCTTCAAAGTTGTAACTTATTAGTGCTCTGCAACTGCATTTGGATGAGACATAGTGTTTTTATGTATTGTTTACTTATATATGTAAGGAGTCAGCTGGGGTTGGTGATGGAAATAAGTTTTGGCTTGAGGGGATTTAGACATCTTTTAATCTGGCAGTGTTTAACAGGCTTTAATCTGACAGTTATAGGAAAGAAGACTAGAGAACATTGTGCATGGTTTAGGGAAGACAGGTCTGTGTTAGAGATGAAGAGAAAGATCTAGAAATCCTCTTAGGATGGGAAAAGTGTGGCCAGGAGAGGGTGTGCCCTACTTATAACAGGGCCCACCCTGTACCTCATCCTCTAGCACAGTGTCTGGCATGTATTAGGCTTTCAATAAATATGTGCTGAATACATGGCTGAAGGCCCACTCTTGGCAGGATGGCAGCTGAAGTACCATGTGACATGGAGAAGCTTTGATGTTGTTTAACATCTGGATGCAAACACACACTGAGATAATCCTGTACACATGTAAAATAAGTGGTTATCTATTTGTGGTAAGCTTTAAAAATAATTTTTTTTTTTACATGAAAAGTAATACTTAAGGTCCACTGCTTGATTCTTTTTTCCCCAGTATAGAAGAATATAAATTTTTTATAGTTGATTTACAATGTTAATTTCTGCTATACAGTAAAGTGATTCAGTTATACATATATATATATATATATATAT